ATGTATTTAAAACATACAGAAATGATGCATCCAATGCCATGACATCATTCTCTTTGTTCTCCGATCCCACGCGCTCATCTTCATCTTCTTTCCTATATACATCAATGAGATGAAGAGGTTTTTCACCTGCAGGTGAATGCTTATATTATAACAAGCAGGAAGAGCAGTGCGTGTTTACTGCCAGTGGCCAAAGATGCGTTCTGCAGTTGCAGCGCATTAGTGGCTGACGTGTTACCGGCGACGAAGTTTTCTTATTGGACTGTGGACATTTGACGACGCGAGGTACCCGGAACAGAAACATTGGGAGCAACGGAATGACAATCATAGCCGGACTTTGAGTGAGTGTTTCCTCGAAGAGAATCATTCAAACTTTGTTCCAAGAACTTTGGACTGAATAAGTTTGAACTTTTTTTGGTCTTTAAGTGTATTGTTTAGTGCATGATATTGCATCGTAGTGCGTGTTCTTGTTTGTGCCCGTTGTTCTGAGTATACAGCGCAACACCAGAAAAAAAACAGGATAGGGAAGGAGTAAAACATAAAGAAAAGACTGCACTGACTCACAACTGTTGTTTATTGGAAAAAAACGGGGTGAAAAGTATATGTATAGGTACTGGCAGCCTACATCACAACATGCGCAGAATACGAGGTGCACCGAGGTAGCGTTATCACACTCATGGCAATAAACAAGCTTGGCCTAAATAACTTAATTCTTTTTCATGTAGTGTGACGGATGGTTCACTAACGCACTTGCTAATCCTAATCTTTATATGATATGCCTCAGCGATTTCTCTAGTTAGCTGGTTAGGATGCTTGAAGATGATGGTGGTTCTCTCAAAAATGGGACAACCGCATGACCTGCAATGTTCCGGCAGATGAAGTCGCGCGATCCCTTGAAGAGATAACTCATGCTCCCTTAAAAGAACATTCACACATCGTTTCGTTTGTCCCACGTGCTCCCTGCCACACGATAATGGAGTTAAATACACAGTTTTTTTTACGCATGCGATGTACTTGTTCTTATGATTCACAGCGCATCTCCCTTTGGCCTGTTTGTTCCTCAGCGCATTATCAACCATCGGGCAAATGCGACCTACCTTATGTTTGGCGGAAAAAAGGAACGTCGACACCATACATTGAGCCTACGTTTTTCAGCCCATGCGCCAATTTGTGTACATAAGGAAAAACTGCTCTGCTTCTTTTTCCATCAGAATTTTCTTGAGCTCCTCTGTGTTTCACGAGCTTAAAGCTCCGAACCATTGACTCACACACAGACGAAATCACCTTGTCAGGATACCCAGCATCTACTAAGCGTTTTACCTGGTTATGAAAAGCAGTATTCGACACGTGCACACAGAATTTCCTAAGTGACGCATTTAAAATTGTCTTTGCAATCACTCTCTTCACAATCTTAGAATGGCCAGACTTGTAGCTTAAGGTAGGCTTAACTGATCTTGGGTCATATTTCCAACACAAATGATCTTTACCAAAAGTTAGCTTTAGGTCAAGAAACTGTAGCTCGTAATCCTTACAGACTTCGTGAGTGAAGGTGAGGCCTATACCATGCTGAATGAACAATTTAAGAATATGGTCAATGTCCTTATGGTGAATGTCATTGTGGGAAAAAATTACAAAATCGTCGACGTAACGAAAAACAGCACTGCAGCACTTACTAAGGTGACCTTCCAGCTGCCTGTCAATGTAGACTAAAATAATGTCACTAATAATAGGGGGCCACGCTCGACCCTATGCAGACACCAGACTTTTGTACATAAAGATCCCCCCGCCACGACACAAAGGTACTTTCAAGGTAAAATGACAAAAGTTCAAGAAATGATTCTAAAGAAATACCGCAACCATCGATGAAAGATTGTTCATCGTTGTCAAACACAATGCAGGCTTTTACGCATACCATATAAAGATTACGGGTAGCAAGTGCGTTAGTGAACCATCCGTCACACTGCATGAAAAAGAATTAAGTTATTTAGGCCAAGCTTGTTTATTGCCATGAGTGTGATAACGCTACCTCGGTGCACCTCGTATTCTGCGCATGTTTGTGATGTAGGCTGCCAGTACCTATATATATACTTTTCACCCCGTTTTTTTCCAATAAACAACAGTTGTGAGTCAGCACCGTCTTTTCTTTCTGTTTTACTCCTTCCCTGTCCTATATTTTTTCTGGTGTTGCGCTGTAAGTAAGTTCACGATGGATCCTAACCAACTGGCCCAACTTACCGTCTTACTGTTCTGACTATATCTTGCTATGTTGTGTACCTGTTGTTTAGAGTGCCTTGTGATTGGAGACGTTTTGTATTGGATTGTTGCTGACTGTATATGTTTGTGCGTTGTTTGATCTGCCATGTTTGAGAATATATTTTTGTTTTGTTATCTACTCTCGGCTCTGACTGGTTCTTTAGACCACAGCCTGCGTTCGCTGGCGCCCAAATAGGACGAAATCAAAATTGCCCTTGCTTTGGTGGTGCAGTTCAGAGGCCAATACTTCAGCCCTTGCAATTAGCCCGGCAATTGCCTCCCTAATTAATGGGACTGGTGACATTGGAGCAAGAAAGCACATGCATCGATGAGAAGCGTACTCGAAACGATACGGACGCATACCGAGAATGCCGAACCCACGGGCTGCGAAAAAGCCTCGGTGCTACTTCTGAACAATCGTTTGGTCACTGACCTCACAGATATGCGAGCTCACCAAACAGTGATTGATGGTGTTGGTGTAACGTTAGCTGAGATTAGTGCTAGGTTGTGTGTGGTGAGAGTCAGCAAAGCTGTGAAAGAGAGAGAGAGATAGGATTATTTACAGAAAGGCAGAGAGGTCGGCCTGAGCGATAGCTGGCTCTAGCCTGCTACTCTACACTGGGGGAGGGGAAAGGGGAAAAGAAAGATTAATGGATGACGATGGTGAGATGGAGAGGTGAGTATGTGAAACATTCAAGTAAGAACTACCTAACGTGTGCATAGTTTTGAACAAAGGCGGCAAGTCCACTAGTCATGTCCGGATGATCGTGTTGTAATTATTGAAGTTTGGCAATGACATATTGATACGAAGTGTCACTACCAGGAAAAACAAGTGAAGCGCGGGTCGAGAAGGAAGACGACATTGCTTCGTGTCAATATGTAGATTTTGCAGGGTTGTACAAGGCTATTGTGGGGCAGAGAGGTCATATAGTAATGATTTACTTTATTTGTGCAAATAATGCCATAGCTTATAGATAGGGCTTAAAGAGCATTAGATTACATGCACCAATCACTAAGAAATGACGAGGCCATCAATGATAGCATGATGATTAAGATAACACAAATGTTCAGAGCCGAAAAGCTTCCTAGTGGGGTGGTTTTAAAAAACTGCTATAAACTGAATTTTTAACGGGTCATGTTGGGGGGGGGGGGTTGTGATTCGAAATTGTAGGACTAGTTCAAAAATTTTATACCTTCGTACTCTTCACCTTGGGCCGCAAAGTGTGTTAAATATTGGTAAATATTTATTGTGAAGAAAGAAGAGGACGAAGTGTGGGCACAAAAGGAGAGCTCGGGCATGGCGTGTGCCCAACGAGCTATGCGGACCTCTAAAATGTGATTTTATTTTAAAATAAGCCCTTACTTCGCACAAAGGTAGCACTACGAGTTTTCTGGACCACTATTTCGGCAATTAACATCGACTTAATATTTGATTTTAGTGTCCCTTAAAGGGGCCTGAAACACTTTTTCAAGTAACCATGCAGTGGATTCACTAAAAGAGCTCATTGTCTCACAAATTTAACCCCGCAAAAATTTTAAGAAACCATTTAGTACAAGCGGAGTTGCGAAGATTTGTCGCACTCTGCGATCCCATTCTCTCTTTTCTCGTTCCGATGAAAGCACTGGAAACTAAGCAGGGAGGAATAGCATAGGCAAAGAAAATGCATCATTTGTGCCTTGTGAGCTTGATCACTTTTTTTTCCCCTTTTTTTTTTTTGAATATGGGGTTTTTTCAGTGTGATCGCATGCACACACGTGAACAAGTCGTGGCCTCCCGGAGAGATTCCTGTAACAACCGAGCACGCCATGTTCAAATCAGCCTATGGCTGATAGATGGCCTTTCTACGAGTGATTTTTGAGTGTCTTCCGTCATTTTCTGAGAGAAGAGAAAGTGATTTTTAGCTAACTTTGATCATTTATTCTGAATTTCAGGCCATGTGCTGTGCTATGATATTTGGCTCATGTGTTCTCGGGAGCATCTGCTACCGATCTGGTGATTACCCGGGAGTGGGTGGCTACCGGCACCCACTCCCCGGCGCCCTTTTGACAATACTCAAAAAGTGTTTTAGGGCCCTTTTAAGGTGGAATGTACAGGATCTCAAATATGATGCTGTTACCTGGCTGTATAGGGACCTGAAATTTCGCGCCCTAAGATAGAATTCAAACATCGAAAAGTCAGAGAGCAAGACAGAAGGAGTAGTGAAGAGAAAAAAAGAGAGAGGGGAAAGAAACATAAAGAAAGAGATTGAGCAAAAAAAACGAAGAAACAGATAAAGAGAGACAGAAATGAATAAAAAAAAACTTCTAAAAGAAGAGTACAAAAAACAAAGAAAGAAAGAAGGAGATAATGAAGAAAATGAACAATTCAACGTAGCTTGTATATATTGAATACATAAAAAAGTCTCACTAAATTATATAATCAATTCTTGGCTGATTCCCTGGGTGGGTATGAGCCAAGTTTGAGGATTTATAATCATCAGCCCCACTTTCTTTAGGCATCAATATTAAATACTGAAAATTTCTCATAAACTCGCATAATCAATTCTTGACCAATCCCCATTGGTGGGTATGAGCCATGTTAGAGCTATCATCATCATCATTATCATTAGCTCTACTCTTTTTTTCAGGCTGTCCAGTGCTACTGCGACGCTGCCATAATTTTTTTCCATATGTAATAGCTAAGTTATTTTTTTTTTTGCACTTTTAACCACACGACTCATCACCATGCAGCAAGTTGCACACGATGTGAGTTGAATTGAATAGCACATAACTTTAATCAGTCCTGCGCAGAACGTGACAGGTTAGCACACCCAGCTCAGTCCGACGTCATGGTTGTTTAAGCCAACAGCAACAACAATGTTATGAAAGCTGTGTGAAAGGCGAACAGGCATTGTGAAGGGGGCGTGAACGAGGGTCGCCACCTTAATCATTTCCACGTGCTCCAAGACGGTTTTAGTGCACAGCGCTTCTTCAACAGGTGTACGTCTGCAGTCTCCCACGGAAGCGCCCCCACCGGCTGATGAAGGCGTACAGGGTGTCCCCAGGACTCAGTGTGCAGGTGGCGTCTCGGTGGCCGTGCAGGGTGTAGTCGGTACTAATCTTGCCCTGGCGAAAAATTGATTGATTGATTGTTTGATTGATTGTCTGATGAACACACAAACCACACAATTAAGACAGGGCATAGAAGTTTGTATTTATAAATAAGCATGTTGGTATGTCCATATTATAGTATAAACAAAATGAACAGCTACAACCCTACCGTCCACATAGCCAGGCACATCAGCTCGTTTATAACGCTTTCTCAAGGTAGTGTTAGTGAGCTTTTTCCTAATTATTTCCATGGACGGTATTGCCATGGGCGTGCGCAGAGAAACCCCTTCAAAGCAGGGGTGTAGGCAAAGGCTGGTCGCAGCACTCCTTAGCTTAAATCAATGTGTGAGCTGACTACACCTTATTCTTTAAATGACAAGGGGAAGGGGGAGGGGCTTTCACTCGCTCCCCTGCCCCCTCCGTGCGCACCTCTATGAATGATGCTGCTGTGCGGGTTCATGGAAGCTTAATGCATAACCTGATGACGTACGAAATGCTATACGGCAAATGAAACAAGCATATACCTTTAAAAATGAGGTATTTTCAAAACTAAGTACTTGTTGCTGCACCCACCGCCTTGGTTTACTGGTTAAGGTGCTCGACTGCTGACTCGAAAGTAGCGGGATCGAATTTCGACCACGGTGGTTGTATTTCGATGGAGGCAGCATGCTAGATGCCAGTTTTTCTAGATTGAGGTGCGCATTAAAGAGCCCGAGGTGGTCGAAATTTCCGAAGTCATTCATGACGGCTTCTATCATAATCATGTCGAGGTTCTGGGACGCACAACCCCAATAATTATTTCAACTGCTCTTTATTGTGTGGCTACAACTAATATGAAGTTCCCTAGGCATCCGTCTATTTTGTACTCTAGCTCAAGAAAGTGGCGATTTGGGTTGGTTGGGACAAGTCAATCACTGCGGTAGTTAACGCATACACGAGACGAACGACGAGTGCAGCATCCTTCTCTCTCTTGTCCTCGATCTTTGGCTTGCACGTTCTACAAGAATTGGATAACCTCACTTTATCTCTCCGGTTGTCTCTTCATTCTTTTCCAGTATCGTTAAATGTAGTTTCCCTTTTCAAAATGTTGACTGCGGTGACGCTCCTATTGTTCTATAATCCAATCATTAAACTGTGTAGTATGGTCTCACCAGGGCTACACCACACTGCAGCAGCCTGTCGAGGGTCTTCATCGCCCAGGGTGTCGGCAGGTGGCGCGAGAAGTCACCGAAGAAGGCCATGGAAAGGGCGTCCTTGTTGTGACCCTTGGTGTGGGCGCCAACGGCGTCCCAACCCCGTGCAACATACACTCGCCCGTCGCCTCCGATGAGGAAGCTGTAGGCAATGTCCTCCCAACCTGGAAATACACGTTGTGCTATTTCGTGTATATCATGCCACACTGGCGAAACCTGTAGATAGGTTAGATCCAGGCAATGTCTCTAGATCACCCGTTTCAGAGGCCAAGACCTCAGACCTCATTACCACCATGATCATCAGGGAGAGAGAGTTACATGCCCCGAGGAATTTTTAGGCTTTTTATGTGTATATACTATACGTATTGTCACGTTACAACGTAACTGTAACCTGCTGATAAGGGCACACAAGGACGTCAAACTGAATTGAACAACGGCAGTACGACTCTTGTTTTTCTCTGCACGCGCATCTTTGTCCTCTTCTGAACAGCGGCACATACAAGCATGCTAGCATCTGTGGAAATAATAGTTTCAGAACTTGTACTAGTGGCATTACCCCCCTTCCCAAAGGACATCGTCCCGATGTCATAACATTATTGCCCGATGAAAACACGCACGATAAGCAGTACACAAGGGGGTGTTCACAATCACTGCAAGTCTACTCAAGGGAGTGTGACGAATAGTCAGCGTTGGTAAAATGGTTTCATCCTCGAAACATGGACGACGTGTGGCTGTTGTAAACGGCGGGATTGACGAGCCATGTCCTCGTCAAGAACCTCGTAGTTCACTTCGCTGAGACGACGGAGAACTCTATAGGGACCAAAATAGCGGCGTAACAACTTTTCCGACCGGCCCCGTTGTCGAATGGGAGTCCACAGCCATACTCGTTCTCCGGGTTGGTAAGAGACATCGCGACGACGAGCGTTGTACCGCAGCGAGTCGATGCATTGTTGCTTATGGATTCGTTCGACTGCAAGCTTACGAGCCGCGTCTGCCAGTCTGATAAATTCGTTCGTCTTGACACTAATCTGGTGTCTGTCTGGTAGAAGCATGGCATCCAGCATTGTAGTGACCTCCCTGCCATGAAGCAACCGGAATGGTGTGAATCCAGTTGTTTCTTGCACAGCGGTGTTGTAAGCGAACGTGACATAAGGGAGGATGTCATCCCAGTTTTTGTGGTCTTGGTCAACGTACATGGATAGCATGTCGGCGATCGTCTTGTTTAGTCGCTCTGTAAGGCCGTTGCTTTGTGGGTGGTATGCAGTAGTTTTTCGATGTACTGTGCCGCTAAGCTGCATGACGTCCTGTATCATCCGGGCGGTAAAAGCTGTGCCACGATCAGTTATGACAACTGCTGGTGCTCCATGTCGGAGGACGATGTTTTTCATAAAAAAGTGGGCAGTCTCAATGGCGGTGCCACGTTGTAATGCCTTCGTTTCGCAGTAGCGCGTCATGTAATCAGTAGCGACTACAATCCAGCGGTTGCCGTCACGAGACTTGGGAAAAGGTCCGAGTAGATCCATGCCTATTTGTTGGAACGGTTGTGTCGGAGGAGCGATGGGTTTCAAAAAGCCGGCTGGGCGCTGATGTGGTGCTTTACGGCGCTGGCACTCGTGACACGTCTTCACGTAATGCTTCACGTCTCGACTGAGCTTAGGCCAGTAGTAGTGTTGGCGAATCCGGGCCAAGGTACGTGTGTATCCCAAGTGGCCTGAGGAAGGCTCATCGTGACAGGCGGACAAGACATCGGCTCGTAACGCTGGCGGGACAACAAGCAGGTACTCAGTCGCGTAAGGGTCGAAGTTTCTTTTATAGAGGATATTTCTGCGGACGCAGAACGATGATGACGAGCGGGCGAATGCTGGTGGTGGATGCGGCGTACGGCCTTCGAGATATTCGATGAATTGTCGAAGCTCGGAATCGTTCTTCTGCTGTTCGGCCAAGTCGGATGCACTAACGGCGCAGAGAAAACGGCCATCGAGATCGTGATCACCTGACACTGTCTTAAGAGGAGCTCGGGAAAGGCAGTCCGCGTCAGTATGCTTCCGGCCAGACTTGTACACGACTGTCAAATCGAACTCCTGAAGGCGTAAGCTCCACCTGGCCAGACGTCCGGAAGGGTCTTTAAGGTTCGCCAACCAGCAGAGCGCATGATGATCGGTAACAACTCTGAACGGGCGACCATACAGGTACGGTCTGAATTTAGCTATTGCCCAGACAACAGCTAGGCACTCCTTTTCAGTTGTTGTGTAATTCGCCTCCGCAGATGATAAAATCCGACTCGCATAAGCAATAGGGCGTTCGACACCGCCTTGCCACTGGACAAGGACTGCACCAAGGCCGATGTTACTGGCGTCTGTGTGTAGTTCAGTGTCGGCATATTCGTCGTAGTGTCCGAGTAAGGGCTCAGATTGGAGACGCTGCTGGAGCTCGGAGAAAGCGCGTGTTTGCTCAAGGCCCCACACGAAGGGAACGTCGTCTTTTGTCAGACGAGTGAGGGGTTCGGCAATGTTTGCGAAATTTTGCACAAAGCGTCTGTAGTATGCGCAGAGGCCTAAAAATCGACGCACATCACGTTTGTTGGTAGGTGGTGGAAAATCTGCGACAGCCAATGTTTTGTCTGGGTCCGGCCGAATACCATCAGGGCTAACAAGGTGACCGAGGAACTTTAATTCGTTGTAACCAAAATGACATTTTTCGGGTTTCAGTGATAGGCCTGCCGTGCGAATTGCAGCAAACACAGATCTAAGTCGCTGCAAATGCTGCTCAAACGTTTGGGAGAAGACAACGACGTCGTCTAAGTAAACAAGGCATGCTTCCCACTTGAGACCGGAGAGCACTGTATCCATCATCCTCTGGAATGTCGCAGGGGCAGAACACAGACCGAAGGGCAGCACCTTGAATTCGTACAGACCATCAGGCGTTATGAATGCTGTTTTCTCTCGGTCGCGTTCATCAACTTCGATCTGCCAGTAGCCACTGCGTAAATCCATAGAGGAGAAGTATCGGGCGTGTCGGAGGCGGTCTAGTGAGTCGTCTATGCGCGGAAGCGGATAAACGTCTTTCTTTGTGACTTTGTTGAGTTTGCGGTAATCGACGCAAAATCGGAGAGTGCCGTCCTTCTTTTTTACCAGTACGACGGGGGACGACCATGGACTGTTCGAGGGTTGGATTACGCCATCTTCGAGCATCTGCTTCACTTGAGAACGTATAGCCTCTTGTTCCTTTTGTGATACTCGGTAGGCGTGTTGACGTATGGGTCGCTCAGAATGGTCAGTGACAATGCGGTGCTTTACGGTTGGCGTTTGTTTTATCTTGGATGTAGACGCGAAACAGTCGCTAAACATGCGGAGGATACAGCGGATTTGCTCTTTCTAGGCACATGACAGCTTCGGATTGACATCGACTGCATCGGTTACCGCGGTGTCACTTTCAACGGCTGCAGAAATTGGGGCTATCGTCGTACACGCTTCATCGTCAATGGATTCGAAATGAGCGATAGTTGTTCGCTTGGCCAAATGTTGGTATGATCCACTAAAATTGGTGACCAACAACTCAGTCATCCCACGTTTAAATTGAATTATGCCGCGGGCAACACAGATTTGCTGAGACAAGAGCACCGAAAGGTTGGCTTCAGCGATACCACTACTGTCATGGTCTATGTCGCCCTGTACTGTAACGAACATACTGGTGCGTGGCGGAAGTGTGACGGTGTCGTCGACAATGCGAAGCGCAGTCTTCTGCGGATTGGTATCTCTACGCTTCGGGCCATAGTCGTCAGCAAACGTTACGAGGCAGTCTCGAAGATTTATAACAGCGCCGTGCTCACGAAGGAAATCCATGCCAAGGATTACTTTCCGGGAGCATTTGGGAAGCACAACGAAAGAAGCAACGAACGTCGACTCACAGATTTGCAGCCTTGCGGTGCATCTCCCGATTGGTGTCAAGAGATGACCACCGGCTGTCCGAAGGTTTGGTCTATGCCCCCAAGGAGTCGTGACTTTCCTGAGTTCAGCCACAAGTTCAGCGCTGATAACTGAGTAGTCGGCGCCGGTGTCGACTAGAGCAGTCACTGGATGGTTGTCGACACGAACGGCAATGTCAGCAGAAACGGGTTCGTCAGCGATGTGAGGTGTCGGCTGAAAGGAATCGTCGAAGGTCGGTGGAAGGGTCGGAGGAGGCTGTTTTGACGATAGCTTAACAGCGGTCCCACCCCCGGAGGCCGCTGATTCTAGTTTCCCCGGCGTGGACTTGGGGACCTAGCGGATCGTCCCGCAACAACATCGGCGAAAGTGGAGTATTGATTCGCGGACGTAGAGCGTCGAGGAGACGGAGAGCGTGATTGGCGTCGCTGAAGATTCGGAGACGGTAGACTTGCCAAGTATTCTGCGATGGCGCGGGGTCGTTCGCCGTCCCTGGGCCGACGAGCGTCTGGCCGAAATCCAGGTAGGCCCATCTGTCTGTACGAGCACTCCCGGTACAGGTGACCTGGCTCACCACAGTGGTAGCATAGTGGCCGATTGTCGGAAGCGCGCCACACGCTAGATTTACGCAAATTGGGTCGCGGATTCTCATAGTGTGGTGGGCCCGAGAAGTACTGCGGCATCTGCAGGCAAGTCAGTCGTTGGTTTTCATAGCGTGGCCCGCCCGAGAAGTGCTGTGGCGTCTGCAGGCTAGTCGGTCGGGGGAAATAGCTGGCTGCCGGTGCAGGAGTACGTACAGCTTCCGCATACGTTAGCAGAGGAGCTTCGGCTGGAGGTGGCGCTAATGGTCGTACCAGCTGCCGCACCTCTTCACGGACGACGTCTGTCAGAGCAGCCACTTGAGGCTGTGAAGGCACTGCGTGAAGCTTTTGCAGCTCGTCGCGTACAATGCTACGGACTAGCTCAGCAAGGTCTCTCACGCTCGTGACATCGGGTGTTACCAAGGCTGCTGACAGACATGCAAGGTTGTCGGACCGCTCATACTGCGAAGACCGCTGTCTCAGCATTCGCTCCATTGTCGTCGCTTCACGGAGGAATTCTGCCACGGTAGCTGGTGGGTTTCGTACAAGTCCTGCAAACAGCTGCTCCTTGACACCCCGCATCAGAATGCGCACCTTTTTGTCTTCCGTCATTGCTGAATCCGCTCGACGGAACAGACGAGACATCTCCTCAACAAACATGGCCACGCTTTCATTGGGTCGTTGATTGCGAGAATTGAGGAGACGTTCGGCTTGTTCTTTCCGGTCAGCGCTACCATACGTGTTCCGCAGCTGAGTGCAAAACACCGGCCAGGTTGTCAGGGCGGCCTCGTGATTCTCGAACCAAATACGCGCCGAATCCTCCAGGTAGAAATAGACATACCGCAGTTTCCGGTGCTCGTCCCACTCGTTGGCGACGGCGACTCGATCGTATTGGTCCAGCCAGTCTTCAACGTCTTCGTAGGGCTCCCCATGGAAGGGCTTTGGCGTTCGGGAGGCTGGTAGCCATGGTGCTGGCGGAGTCGCGGACGGTTCAGTCTGGCTTGCAGTTGTCGCATATGCCATGGTTCTGGAGCGTTCCGGAAGAGGGCTGAACTGGGGTGGTAGGCCTAGTTGCCGCCGACTGCGTCGAAGGTTGGCTGTTTCTACTAAGGAGTCAATGTTGGGACCGAGATCTTCCTCGTGGTAACAGTGCATAGACTATTACCCCGCACCTCCACCAGTGTCACGTTACAACGTAACTGTAACCTGCTGATAAGGGCACACAAGGACGTCAAACTGAATTGAACAACGGCAGTACGACTCTTGTTTTTCTCTGCACGCGCATCTTTGTCCTCTTCTGAACAGCGGCACATACAAGCATGCTAGCATCTGTGGAAATAATAGTTTCAGAACTTGTACTAGTGGCATTATATACGAAACAAAAGTAATGTACAACAACCTCGGAAGAGAGCAGCGCTTCGAGATAGGTAATAGTGCACTTCAAGTTGTAAAAGACTATGTCTACTTAGGGCAGGTAATAACCGCAGAGCCAAACCACGAGATTGAAGTAACTAGAAGAATAAGAATGGGGTGGAGCACATTCGGCAAGCACTCTCAAATTATGGCAGGTAGATTGCCACTATCACTCAATAGGAAGGTATATAACAGCTGTATCTTGCCGGTACTTAGCTACGGAGCAGAAACCTGGAGACTTACAAAGAGGGTTCAGCTTAAATTGAGGACGACACAGTGAGCAATGGAAAGAAAAATGGTAGGTGTAACCTTAAGGGACAAGAAGAGAGCAGAGTGGATTAGGGAACAAACGGGGGTTAAGGATATCATGGTTGAAATCAAGAAGAGGAAATGGACATGGGCTGGGCATCTAGCGCGTAGACAGGATAACCACTGGTAATTAAGGTTAACTAACTGGGTTCCCAGAGAAGGCAAGCGGGTTAGGGGAAGACAGAAGGTTAGGTGGGCAGATGAGATTAAGAAGTTTGCGGGTATAAATTGGCAGCAGCAAGCACAGGACCGGGTTAACTGGTGGTACATGGGAGAGGCCTCTGTCCTGCAATGGACGTAGTCAGGCTGCTGCTGCTGCTGTTGATGATGATGATGATGATGATGATGATGACTATATGTACACAGGTAGAAATGCCCAAATGAACATAACGGATGGTTGAACACCTCGGAAAAAATTTGTGGCTTAGCCCCTGTCATGGCAGACGCCGCGGCTGCTTGGTGGTTCATGCATGATGCTCAGCTGCTGACACGAAAGACGCAGGTTCAACTCTGGCGGTGGTCACATTTCGGTGCACAATAACATGATTGTTGGGGATTATGTGAGATGCCATACTTCAGAAATTTGGTTCGTCTGGTGTTCTTTAACGTGAACCTGAATTTTTCCACCCCTTCCAAACGCAGCCACCGCGGCCGATATTCGATCTGGCTACTTCAGCCGGGCGTACTATAGGGGAAGTCCGAGAACACTTCAAAAAGTCACAGGGGTCTTTATGCAGTTGTAAGACGACTTACAGCACATGCCATCTTTGTTTTTTTCCTAATCTGTTTTATTGATTAGCCTCTCCAACTTTAAACCTTTCTGCTCCCAGCATGGTTTTGTACCGCCTCCAGGATCTAATGCATTGAAAGCTTTTTGTCGCCGACGTGTTTTATTTAGTGCCTCCGGGGCCGGCCTAACTTCGCCCAAACGATGACGTCATGTGACGTCACATTATGTCAAGTCATATTGATGTCATGATGATTTCACACATTTTGGTAACATGTTACGTCATTATGACATCACAGGGCGGTGTCGCCAAGTGATGATGATTTGTTTCAGCACTCATGTGGATGCCAAGGGTCAGTCTTCTTGTTTGGTGAGGCGGCATCTTTAACCCTAATAAAAATGAGGAGCGTAATGTCTCGACGATAGTATTGCTATGCCGTTGCACTGAGCAGTGCATTAAGCTTACTATTCCTGAATCTTATTGCCCCGAAGGTCGCAGGATCGAATCCCGGCTGTATTTTTGATGAAGGCAAAAATGCTTGAGGCCTGTGTGCTTAGATTTAGGTGCACCCCAGGTGGTCAAAATTTCCGAAGTCCGCCACTACGGCGACTCATAATCATATGGTGGCTTTGGGGCGTTAAACTCCAACAATTATTGTTGCTATAAATCTTATCATGATTGTTAAGCTGCTTATACCTTTAGTGACTTGGTGGTAGTGTTGAATGTACCGCATCTTCTCAGAACAAGTCCACGGGTCGAAGCATTCCCCTCCAGCGGTGTGGTGCACGAAGACACGGGGTACAGGCTGAACTTTGAGCCTTTCCCACTCTTTGGGTGGCCGGGCACCCCAGGCCTGGCGGGGTACGAACTCGATGCCGGAACAGGCCAGCATCACGAGGTACTTGTGCCGCAGCAGCGGGGGTAGCCACCAAGCTGTGCCCTCGTTTCCTCGGTTCCGGTCAGGATAGCCACGCGAAGTTGTGCCAGCCTCGAGGGAGCCTTCACGTAAAATGACAGCAACAGTCATCAGCTAGCATCATCGAAATTTCTGCGTAACAATGCTCTAGCGATATGCCAAAGGGGCTATGATTAACTACCTCCAACCTCCATCCTTCCGATTCCCGCTGACTGCACGTTGCCAACAAAGTACTTTCTCTAGAGCAAACAATGAAACCCTTATCAAAAAATCGTATATGTTCTGCCAACAATATAGGTATAGCTCTTGGGTTTCCGTTACAATTGTTTTCCCAAAATAGGATACATATAACCTTACATGCGTATAATTACAGCCATTCAAAAAAATAAATGGCCGGGAAAAATTGCATCTCATTTGGGAGCTAATGCAGAAGCCGTGTGGGTCGCTTAGGAATGCTTGTATGAGATTCTATCAACGCTTCTTGGTACTTTTGAGCAGTACTATAGCCAGAAATATTTTTTGGGTAGTGGCAGGATTCAACCAGGCTTTGGGTTTGTTTGTGCATTTGTATGTATGCTTGTACATATATCTGTGCACATGAAAAATTGAAAAGTTGTGTGTGCGTAAGGGGGTGAACACTTTACGCCCCGACTACGCCAATGCACCGTATATATATATAAATTGCCCGGAACTTTCATAAATTTTTGGGCCACCAATTTACAAGATATTTAAAAAAGCTCCTCTTCAGTAAACGATGGCCAATACTCGGGCTTCCTTCAAAAGAAGAGAACAAAGAAAAGTAAGCTGTACTGCGTGCATACTAGGTTAGATTAGGTTAGGTTGGGTTGTGTCAGGTAAGGTTAGGTTGGGTTGGGTTAGGTTGCTTGAGTAGCACGTTACCTGTTCAATGTATAAACCAAGTCTGCAAAATGGTATTATTTTTATGTCTAGGCAACTCTGACTAAGCCACGGGCGGATATATGAATCCTTTGTTGTAATCCACATGTGCTGGCGCAAGAACGTGAAATGGGCTGTAGATCTAAGGAATGAAACTGTAGACGTTCAACTAAAGCATGCAACTTAAATGGGCGTCTCATGAGTCAGAAACTACAAAATCAGAAAGGCATAGAAGCAAGAGCACCGTAAGTGGCCTGATGGAGCTATGGTTTTTTCCTGTTTCTTTTAGTGATTCAAACATGAAAGAAGTTCGGGGGAAGATGGAGACATTAAGCAGTGGCATTGCCAGAGGGTGGCACGCCGGGCCCGTGCCCCCTCTTCTCCCTATATATATGTGTGTGTGTGCATGTGTTTGTGCAATCGCAAACAAAGCACAAAGTGACACTCGACTTCATTTGCACCCTTCATCTGAATGTTAAGGAGGTGCACCTCCCCCCCCCCCCCAAAATGACCCTCACTGAAAGATAAGGTACCAATTAAATTATGCTTCGGAGTCGACGTTGTCCCCTTATTGGAACTTTGGCTCCAGCAATATTCTTGTTAAACAACTTCTCAACAATTCTGTTTGTAGGAGGGATATAGTCCTATCGTACGATGTCTCCAGCTCAAGATGTGGCCATTATGAATCTTGATATGTCCAAACTCAATGCAGTCCCCAATGGCGTTACTCCACGCTACTCTGTCCACGCTACTCTATTCCACGCTACATATTCCATGCTACTCTATCCGTCTATCTTAGTAGCCCATTGTCCATCCACATGGGTCGGCGTGACGTGCAGGGTGCTGGAGCAGGGAGAGCGGGGGCACACAGCCCCCCCAACGATATAAGGGGGACACCTTGTACATTTGCTCAGGAGGCTCTGTACCATCACTGTTTAATGATGAGTGTTATGACCACAAGGGATTTTGGCAAAAATGGCGGCAGAGCAGCACAGATGTTTCATTCCAAGAGTGGCTTACTTCTCAATTTTACTCCAGAAAAGCCAGTCGCCAGAGGTAGGCCATGCTGAGATCTGGTATCAGTAAGCAGTGCGGTAAAAGCAAAGGCGAAGCATATAGAACGAACACACCACACGAAGTGCCGATACAGCAATCTGGGTGTCAAAAGCACACAAATTCAAAGGCAATACCTTCGCAGAGCTTTTCCGTATGTTTCGCCTTCGTTTTTACCACGCAGTTTTCTGACGCAATATGTTCGACTAGAGAGCCAAGAAGTTCAACTTATTAGACTTTGCTTGTTCAAAAGGCTTCATGAAAGTATCGTTCTTGGGTCCATGTGATTTCGTTGACGACATTGCTCTGTCAGCATTTCATGTGGTGTGTTCTTTGTTTCATGCTTCGCCGGCGTTTTTGCCGCCCTGTTTCCTGGTACATAATGTTCAACCAACCAGCCAACAAGTTCACCTTATTGGATGCTCTTAGAGCAACAACGTTGCCTCAATAACAGTTTTTCATCTATCCCAGAGCTTGTCCTTCGCGCTCATCCAATAGAACAATAAGGTCGGAGGGAATGTGGGATGCTGTCGTGAAACATTGCTTCGCCTTTTCGGAGAATCCTGCGTTTGCCTATGTCCATACGTACACACAATAACCCAAAGATTCACTCAGCTTGTCTGCTTCCGGTCACCAGAGGAGGCTTCCTTCAGCACAGCTACCACGAAGACGAAGGTAGTGACCAATCCCCGAGCCATGTTGTCCAGACAGCTTCTTCTTTTCGAATAACACTTTTTTTCTAGAATTCTTCAAACGAACGTTTGAATCTGTGCCTCGGCTCTCGCTGTATCCATTGTTCTCAAGTTTGCAGAGGGTGAAAATATAGGCAACAATGGTCATTGCATGATGGATCATGCTGCAAACAAATGTTGCCCCCGAACGATTATAATACTAACGACATTAAAAAGACTCCCGCCCCCCCCCCCATCTGCCATTTTTTTTACCGTTTCCAATGACAATTTCAGTGTGCCCATGTGTCTTCATGTTTACTGCGGACGTCCCATTGTTGAAGTCAGGCACCCGTGTATGGAAATTAAAATAATATTTTATTAAATATAGTTCATCAAATTCTTGCAAAAAAATGAAAGTTTCATATACTAACAATTTCACCTTCATTCACCTTTCACACAAAGAACTTATTGACGACGCTTTAACAAAACCCGAGTTTTCTTTTTTATCACTACAATATTGGTCGTATGCGTCTAGCAACTTTTTTTTACGCTTCCTATCAAACTACACAAGCTTGCTGCAGTACTTTCGCATACGAGATTCTTATGAAAAATTATTGGAGTGTTCTCATCATGGTCAGCGCACAAAAAAAAGGACAAAAAAGAAAAGCTCATGAAAGTGCACAACACAAGCGCTGTCTAACAACTGAAAGTTAAGTCAACTCAACACTCCAACATTAGAGTGTGGACTGGACATACGATTGACAGGTTGACACACTTTTTTTGGTTGCTTCCATCTATTTGGATTATTCTTTTATTTATATGGGAATGAAGTGAAATGGTGTTAATAAAAATTAATTTTTCAACATAATAGAACTAACAAGGTGAACACGAGTATTCTCAGCTTTGTTTGCTTTACATTTAGAATACTAGGCGACAACTCTTCTTGGAAGTATTGTGTAAGCTACAGAAGTGAAACGCGATTAACATTTCTTGCGTAAACTTCACGAAACAGAAACTGTAGCCAGTGACGAAAGACCTGCAAAACACATCAGCACAAACTAGCAATTGTTTAATACATAGATGAGTATGACGTATATACAGTTGTTACCATATTTTACTTTTTTTTTAGTGCACACTGAGAGACGCACTGTCTCCGTCTTGTCTCTGTGTTCTGTGCATGCTAAAAAATATTTTAGTTAAAATATTAATGCATGCCAACTCTCCCAGCTATTAATTTTACTGCAACACTGTTGTTAATTTCTGCTGATGTGTTTCCATACGTCTTTTATCGCTGTCTCCACTTTCCTTTTTGTAAAGTTTGGGCAAGAAACGTTGATCGTGCTCAGCCAACGAGCACATTAAGTTTTTCTTAACTGAAACGTGCCTGCTACCACACCAAAAAATAGTATACTTAAGTTTACTCATAGTTTTCTTGTTAGCCTTGCTGAAATAATATTAGTATTCTTGGAGGATGGAGGGGCAATATTGATGCCTCTAATGCAAAATAACAACTTTCCCTTTTTATTTTTTTTTTATTTTTTGCAATTTGTTGGTACATTTCTTTACGTCATATTTGTGATGGAAATACGTCAGCGGTGCCGTGGTCGACTCCAGCATGAAACACTTGCATGTTAAAAAATTATTTTCGCCTTCCAGTCGTCTTAGGTGAATCATGAGGCACCCGGTGAGTTTATTTTTACTGCTCTTTTAATGTGGCACACTGCGGTTGTTGCCTGCTGGTGGGCTGCAGACGTACTTTTGGAGTCTCCCGCCAAAGTTAGCCCACCGACTGATGTAACCGTACAGGGCGTCACCGGGGCAACTCGTGCAGCCGGCGTCTCGGTGTCCGTGAATAGTGTAATCGGCAGAGATCTTTCTCTGAAAAAAAAAACAGTGCCGTGATTGCTGGTTACAGCTACATGACTGCATGCATGGCTTTCTACCGAGAAGAATGAGGCGAAACGTGGAATCCTTTTCGTAGCGGGACCTTCCAGGTAAAGAAATAAGTACAAATAATATAATTGACAAAGCAGGGAAAAAAAGAAATAAAATAATAAATAGCTTAAGTTAGTGGCACTCATTATAATTCTCCATTATTTCTGAGTTTCCTGTCACCGTAAGGTATTATCGATAAAACAAGGGACGTCATATAAGGGACCCTAAACTACCCCGACTTCAAAGACAAGAGAGCAGTTTCTTTCTTGCTTTTGCTACCCTTCCTACAAGCGCTCTTTGTTCCTTGCCACTTATTATTGGAATAGCAATTATATCGACAGTCTCGGCCAGCGTCGCCACCACTGGAGCCGCCGTCATTCACATATATGTATACGTATGTAGATATATACAAGGAATAATCCGCTAGACTCCTTTTTCTGCCGAGTGAACATCACCTTTTCGGTTGGAGTTATCTGCGCGTGCGCTAATCTTGTGAGGGAACAGGGGGGGGGGGGTGCGTATGGTTTCCGTAACGGTCAGTGCGTGGCTTGTGCCTCCACAGCAGGTGGGAGCTTCTATGGGTTGTGCTCTCAACATGAAAAAACGGTGCCGAAGGCATACCTGGAGCGGCTGTGTTCTCTTACACCAGCATTTTGTAGAGTTACTACTGTGGCCGCGCTGCAGGAGACTGGTTACTTAGCAAGCGCACTACAATTAATATTGCTCCTAAAAATGCTAGCCTTGCTTCGTAAAACATTCCAATATGTTGCTGTCCCATTCATTGGTTCGCACTTTTGGCAAAACTGTGAATTTTTTCTTCAGAAAACACGTGGAATATCAGTACTGAGCGTAGTGCTGGTTAAGATTTTGCACTTTTCTAACACATGCTGTTATTTCCGCTGACGCAGTCACAAATGCTGAAAACAAAGTGAAATCAGTTGATCTCGCCCAACAGTTGGTGCGAGACAAAATACAACAGTCATCCGACTGCATGACGAAACAGAGTAGGCGACAGTATACAACAGATACCTCTCGTATATCGACCAATAGAGAGCCTATTTCATACTGACATCACGTGAACGAACAGCTGGCGTCATGAACTGTGTCGAAAAGACGGGGGATGCCGGGAGAGGATATCACGCTCGTTTTTTATATATCTTCAAAGGTTGTTTAGGGGCTCTTTAAGCCAGGCGTGTCAAACATGTGGCCCACATATTGCTGTGCTCGACCCATATTTTCTTCTAATTTTCATAAGTATGCGCGTCAGCTACGCAGGCATGACTGGTTTAAAGTATTGTCGTCGTCAGGCACCCTATGTGAGCACCATATGTTGAAGCATAGCAGTGAAACAAACACAGTATTTTATATTCGGCGTCCAGATATCACTCATTTTGTAAGATTGGTATATTGACATGTTGTTAGATGACATCCTGGCGCCGCGCGTCTTCTCCAGAAAAGTAAACCTTTCCCATATCTCATATACAAGTCGTATGAAAAATTCATAAATAGAAGTTGTGCCGAGCCGACATTTTTGTCTTCCTCAAGGCTAGAACAGAACCGATATCTCATACAATTCGTCACCCCGCCTCCCCCCTCCCCTGCCCTCTCACACCCGCATGTCCAATGGTGCCCCTTCCCTTCTATTGTTAGGATGGAGGAGAGGGTACGAAGCGTAGGCACGCTGGCGCTAAAGAAATCACTTCTGTTCGAGCCTCGAGGAAGACAAGTCGGCTTGTCGAAACGTTGGCTCAACACAACCACTGTTTACGGATTTTTCATCGCAAGCTTCCATCTGCCCCTTCCTACCGTTTTTTGAATACAGGTCGTATGTGAGATATGGGAAAGGTTTCCTTTTCAATGGTAACGTTAACTGACAATGTGTACAGACTAACCACCTCCCCCTCCCCACTTTGACCTTCTTCTCTGACCCGGTCCTCATGGAAATAAATTCTGTGGCTGTGGCCCACTGCCTGAATCAACATATTTGCACAGCACAAGACTACAAGTAGTTACAGCGTAACGACGGAAGAAGAGACAAAGACAGAAAAAAAGCACCGACTTCCACTGAAATTTTATCAGCGAAAATGCTGGAAATATATGTACTCGTTATAAAAAGCAGCACATCACAGCACAACCGCTCAACCTATTGCGCCAGACAATCAAAATCTCGTTGAGCGGGCACAACACCACACCTCAGCACAAACTCACAATCTATTGCGTGAAAACCAGATGCTTGATTTCTTTTTTTAATGAGTGCAACCGAAGGCATGGTGATACATAGATCACCCAGCATTTGAATTTGATTGGCCTCAATAACCTCTCGTGTTAGCTGCTGACGGTGTTTTGTGACAACGGTGCACAACGCTGCCCGAATTGAGTTTGAGACTCCTGCTTTAAGAGGACATTTCGATTTGGTGCGCAGTAAGAAATTTGGGAAGGGGGAGTGGGGAGGAGGGTCGCCGTTCTTTATATGTACGTTTATGTGTGCTTTTGTATGTGTACAGGTATAGTATATACGCATGCAAAGCTGAAAATTCTCGGGAAGGGGGGGGGAGTAGTTCCCAATATCCAGCTCTTACATTCTTGGCTTACCCCCTTGGTTTCGATAGATGAATGGCCAGCCGAGACTGTTTGTCCGGGCTGCAACCTCAACAAACTCAGTGGAAATCTTTTCTATATTGCTCTTAATCACCTAAATTTTTCACCTTTATATCGATCTCTCTTTGTTTTGACAACAGTGTTATTTATTATGGCTTTTTTCAAATTTAGTGTCAACCACGATTCTTATTATTCGAGTACGCAAGTATAAGAACTAGGTTACAGAACTGGTGAACAGCTGGCACTTATAGTCGCATTCCGTAGTGTCCATAGAGTTTCTTACATTTTTTACTAGAGAGCACTCTGTGACTGCAATCAATGCGCTACCTGGGGAATAATGGGTAGTACGCGGATTTGCCTGTTTTTCGTTCTTGCTTCTTTAAATGCGCTTCTATCTTGGTTTATTGTGGCATTTTGGTGTTTGTTTCGGATAAAATAATAGCTCGTTGTAAACCTTGTGAGCTAACATGAGTTGGTGAGCCTAAAAGGGTCCGAAGGGTTGATGTAGGATTATTTATATTTATACTAAACTCTGTCTTGCGACAAAGTGGCTGCAAGCCACACGGAGCCGATCTAATGAAGCTAAGGCATAACCATGTACTACCCATCATTCCCAAGCTGGCTTGGGCACCTTGCTTTGCAGCTACCATAGACACTAGCGCCAGATTTCCCTCTAGTGTGCTATTCTGGAACTCTACGGTAGTGTCATATATACGTCACCAGGGCAACACCGCATTGCAGCAGCCTGTGCAGCGCCCATATGGCCCTTGGTGTTGGCAGGTGTCGCGAGAAGTCGCCGATGAAGGAGGCGGCAAGCGCGTCTTTGTTGTGTCCCTTCGTGTGAGCGCCTTCCGAGACCCAGCCGCGGGCCACATACACTCTCCCGTCGCCGCCGATGAGGAAGCTGTAGCCGAGGTCGAACCAGTCTGCGAATGCACAACATAATTTGCACTGGTTAAGCTAGCCTGCGCAGGCGACGCGATCACGCGCAAAAGCAACTTCTTTTTCAATGGGAAAATAAAAAAACTGATTGATTGATTGATTGATTGATTGATAGGTAAGTAAATATACACTAAGTTACATATTAAGAAAAAATGTCAGGTTTATCCTGTCCCTCCCTTAGGGAACTTTAGATTTCATTTCTTGGAATACAAGAAAAAGGAACAGAGGCAGAAGGAATTTCATGCGCCTGAAAAAAAGTCTCTGCACCTGAAGTTCGCCACATATACACATTTCTTGCTCATACGTACAAACAAGACTTTTTGACATTTCATGTACGTACCACATGCGCGCTGTCCGATGAAGAAAGCCTAATCTCGACGTGTATAATAATACTTTACTTATAAGTGATTCATTTATAAGCGTCTCTAACCATGTTCCCCAGGTGAAATTGGTCACCTTGTACTTGCATGCATGCAAACAAACTTGCGTAGCTATACACGTATAGTGGTCGCACCACCAGCCCTCCTGGAAATAACATCCTGCAGCTTCACCACTGCTGATGGTCACCGTCTCTTGCGAGTACGACGCAGTATGTCTACCTCTGGTATCCATGTGGAAGTTCTGCCAGTAGCGCATTCTCTGCGAACAGCTCCAGAAGTCGAAGCACTCAGCTTCCGTTGTGTGGTGCACAAAGAATCGCGGCACTGGTTGCACCTTGAGCCTCTCCCAACCCTTGGGTGGACGGGCGCCCCAAGCGTGGCGGGGCACGAATTCGATGCCCGAACAAGCGAGCTTCGCATGCGTCTCATCCGGAATCGGCCAAGGTCGCCACCACTTGCCAGCGATCCCTTGCTGCCAGTGCGGCCACATGCGGCTATAGCCATAAGCAGCCGTGCCGGCTATATCGTAGCCTTCAAAAAAGAAGCAATACATTGCAGAACTGTTATCAAACGACATTCACCAAGTTGAAAGTGATATTCAGTGATAAATTTGTGCCTACTGGAGCTTGTTAAGCTGCTGCAATCGTGATAGTTGATTACTTACTTACGAATAAATAAAAAGGTTGTAAAATGTAGAACAAATCAGTCGAAAGACACGAAGGCAGCGAAGGAAAACCCCCAGACAGGATGAGCGCTGGACTCACAACTGAATGCTTACAGAATAAATCCCACAATCCACACGCATGAACTTGAAACACATGCGTAAATAGGCCCTCTAAGCCCTGTCACAGTTGCACACCTTGCAGTACAAAATGTGAAACGTGTCAATGTGGTACAAACAGCACCTCGCCATAACGCACGCAACTTCAACGCAACGTGGACCAGCTATAGGAAAGCGAATTCTATCTCTGTAAGAAAAACTGGGGGAAAACTGAGGGACATAAACACTCATTTGTAAGTCCAACGCTTGTCCTGTGTGGGTGTTTTCCATCGCCGCCTAAGTTTTTTCACCAGTTTTCTCCACCGATTGCTCCGGGTAGGGGAACGCACACAAAGCCACGTATAATTATTAAGGACAGTAAAAATATAGAGTACAACTCTGTCATCTCTTTCACAGTATGCCATAAGAGGGTATGTATTGCAGTCAGGAGGGAAATATCAATCGATTATCTTCTTGTGTGACGTACCCCAAAAAGTACTTATCTTGATCCTGAACCAACAGGAGTCACCCCCAGAGGACAGGGTCCACATTTCAAGCTGTTCGTATCGTAATGAGCCGGTATGATTATCGAGGGTACCAATACATAAACGAAGTATGCAGTTCAGGCTGTGCATGTAATTATCACATGGGTTTACAATATACTCTTTCACTTCTATATAGTCAAACTACGACATTAAGTATTTTTCTTCAAAATGGGATTAGCAAGTTTTCATATGAGCAGCAAAGTGACCAGACAGAATCCTTTCTGAAGTAAAGCAGGAAAATAAATTACAGACTATGGTTATTGACAGGACGCTGAAGTAGACGCACAACAAAAGGTCTCTGTTATTACTTATGCTTAATGTCCATACACCAAAATAAGAACAACTCAACTCATTTGCTTTCTTTCGCCGGAACGTGCACGGTCAAGCACAGCTGCAATGATGGCGACCAAGATGGCCAGCACGTGTGCCGCGTTGACATGTTTCCTAGCCATTTTTTTCATTCACTGGCAACCTGCTTGAAAGAACACCGATATTATGAGGCTATTCTGGGTGGTCAGCTATGAAAATATGTGCCTCAGCTCATACGCTTTCACAGCTGACCACTCAGAATATTTCCAATGGCTAATGTGGACAGCATTGTTCACAGCATGATTGATTGTCATTCAGACAATGCACTGTGGTACACTTATAGCGCATTGCTGGATGTTGAAATTTTTTTTTCTCTCTCTTTTTCTCTGTCAGCGTTGACGAAACAAAGAAAATTACTTCGTACTTAGTATACTGAAGATTTTACTGTGGGAGACATCTGCGCAATTTTTTTCTGTAGACGTCTAAATTTAATATTAAGCAGTGACAGAAGTATAGGTGAACTGTCTTTAAAGCTCCAAGGCAGGGAGGTAGGAGAGTTGCATTTGATGCATCCTGTAGAAAATCAGGGCAAATAGGACGGCACACAAGAATGAAAAAGCACAGTGCGAGTGTAGTCAAAAAAACTGAAGTTTAATGAAACAAAAATGAACACAACGAAAACCAACACATGTGTGCGCAAAAAAAAAAAACAAGGTGATGTCAAAAAAATGGCTGAGCTTGCGTACCTCGTAATCTAAGACGTATTCGTAAGACGGTTCAGATATACATTCAATACCCTCGTTTCTGAGAAAAAATGCTTCAACGAGTTCATGCGTCCTTTTATCTTTACGCTTCAGCATAATGGCAGTGTAACTGAAAAACAGTTTATCTCCACCTTTCGGCCCACTGCAGATCATGTGGATGCGAACAGTTTATTGCACTTGGCAGGCGTGACGTTAAGGGAAAATTCACGGGGTCACTTGTTTGTTTGTTTGTTTGTTTCCCTGGGAGGTTGGCTCATACCCACTCAGGGGGATTGGCCAAGAAAGTGTAGTGCAGTTTTTCTGTGATCATTTTAACTATGTGCAATGAATCGGTATTATAATAAGACTAATGTAAAAATAAAAACAACATAAAAAGAGCAAACGAAAAAAAAAATCAAGTTGAGCAATTTTGAGATTTGAGGTGTTATGTTTTACCACTCAGCTGCGTTTACTTCACTCTGCCCTTGAGAGTAATAAATATATATTTTTTTTTGATTGAAGATCACAAGGGTATACGCTTGGTTGCCTGAATATAATCGCAAACGGCATTGAAAGCATCCCTGTGGCAATGTCCCAAAGCTGAGGCGCCAAAGCTTAGCGCCGTTTCCGCCGTCAATCTAAGGCCTAATTTCCGAAATGGCATAACTAGTAACCTTTTTCTAAGTATCTCGTAGCGGCGACAATACAAAAAATAATGATCTAGTGATTCCATTTCTCCGCAGAATGCGCAGAGGGGTGATGTTGTCTGACCAGCTCTGTGTAGATACAGGTTTAGGGGGGGGGGGATACGACATCAAAATTTAGTAATTAAGACTTCGAGCTTTCTGGACTGACTCCAGTGGGGTTGCCATGGAAACATGAGGTGGTTATAGTCTGTCCATGTAATTACTTTTTCTATCGTATCAGTGGAGATTGCTGATTTTCGATATCTTATAGCCGTGATATATTCTACATCTGGCAGTATGGACAAAACTGGCCCTTCAAGTGCGGCTCGTGCTAAGGAATCGGCCAATTCATTTAATCTTAATCCACAGTGACCCGGAACCCATAGTAATCTCAGGAGTCTCAACTGCGGCGGTACTAATGTTTTGAATGTGCTTAGAATTCGAGAGTTCTCTGAAGCTGTCAAAGCTGCACAAACTGAAAGAGAATTATTATTGCATTGTTTTGATTTGATGGAAGTTTTCGAAGAGCTAAAATAATCGCCAAGAGCTCCGCTTCAAAAACTGGAGTAAAATCAGGCAGTCTCACTGAAAAGAACCAGTCAAGCAAATCAGAGGCAATGCCTACACCTGCCTTTTGATTATTTACGGAAGCATCTGTGGCTATTATATTTTTAGTTTTCGCATGCTCCAAGTAATCTAATAATATGTTATTTAAAAATTTGAGGGATTGTAATTTGGCGTTTTGGGGGAATATATCATCATACGCAATAATAACATGACAATTCGAGTCATTAGTCTCAATTACATTTCTAATGTTCACTTTTATACTTTGTAGATTTTTTTGTACAAACATTATCTGAGGTGTGTGAAACCGTGGCCAATGAGCAAGAAAAAAGGCGTCTGTGTTTGCGATAAAAGCATATTGAGATATTCTTGCCGGTAAGCTATAAAATTTTAAAAATGCTTGTACGGTCAAAATTCGAAATCGACAAAGAAGTGTAGGCAGGCGCGCTTCCTGGTACAGTACGTTGATAGCCACAAATCTAGGGAGTCCCAGACACATTCGCAGTGCTTCTCGCTCCAAGAGAACTAGAGGTTTCGTTTTATAAGCAGGGCCACCCGAGAATAATATGCAGCCGAATTCCATGATGGGGCGCATGTACATCTTGTACAACGTTATCAAGGTGTGCCTCCGTAACCCATATTTCCGGTTACTTAGCTTGTGTAGTAAGCCTGTAGCCCACTGTGCTTTGGTAGTTATATACTCTATGTGTGGACTCCAGTTAAGTTTGTCATTATAAATGATTCCCAAATGTTTTATAGAGTCTACTTGCTGGATGGGTTCCTGTTTATATAGAATTGAAATTGAAATTGGTTCTGCAAGCGGAAACGCCATGAGCGCGCTTTTGTTGACATTTAACGATAACGAAATTGACTGCAACCAAATTTCTAACATGTTAATATATCTTTGTAATTTAAGTTGTAATGAGTAAATACCACAGTCAGCAGCAAAGAGTGCGATGTCATCAGCATAAATGTAGACAGTAACTTCTTGATCTGTTGGAATTGTGCTCATTAAAGCATTAAATAATATTGGAGATAAGACTGCTCCTTGGGGAACTCCGCGCATTTATTTAAATCTAGATGAGGAACATCCACCCTTGACGCAGTAGAATTCTCTTTATTTTAAGAATTCTGCCACCCACTCAATAAAATATTGTGGGAAGTTCAATCTCTCTAGCGTATTTAACAATATGAAGTGCTCCACACTGTCATACGCCTTGGTTATGTCAAGCGTTACTAAAGCAGCGTATTGCCTTCTTTTACGCGCGAGCTGTATTCGGCTCTCTAAATCAGCATGGGCACACCAAATTGAGAAATCACTACGAAAGCCGATTTGGTTCGGTTTTATTACTAAATTGTCTGCCATCCAGATACTTACTCGGCTATGTAGGACCCTCTCTACTAGTTTGACCATGTTAGATGTTAGAGAGATTGGTCTGATATTATCGACTTTTTTTAGTATAGGAATCACCTTTGCTATCCTCCAATCCTGCGGCACCCATGAGTTTTTTAAGGAGTAGTTAATAACATTGGCGACGTCTAGAGGCGATAAATTGAACAGAATTTTAATCATGGGTACTGTGATTCCACCTGGGCCAGGAGATGCACAGGGTAAATGTTTAATCACGTTGGATACTTCAGTCTGTGTCACTTCTTCAAAGTCAGACTTTGTCGTAGACTTGTGCCAGTTGTTTGGCACTACTGAAGTGAATCTGCTTTCCAGACCTTTACCGATTGCCTCTAAGGTAGTGGTCATTTCTTGTGCCGACAGATTATCACAAGCTACATTAACTGGTGATGGCAAGATTTTCCGAGTTCTCATATATCGGAACAGTGCTTTCTTATGTTTAGGCTTCGACAGGTATTCATAATGTCTTCTGTCATAATCTTGTTTAGCCTGAGCTACCGTTCTTTTAAAGCCCGCAGCAATGAATTTATAATCGGCCCAGTTTTGTGGGGATTGATTATGTAAGAGCTGCTTCCAAGCTGCCTGACGTCGTCGGTGCTCTCTTGTACATTCATCATTCCACCAACGGCTATATACTCTTTTTGTGGATTCAACAGTAAATTCGGCTCTTTTGTAGGATCGTTTAATGACTGCGTTTATTTTCAGTGCTTTTTTATCATCGCTCTCTTCCGAGTGAAAAGCCAGTGCTGACTTCAGGTCATTCCTAAATTTAGTGTAATTTACAAATACTCTTACATTTGAACAAGATGGAATTATTGGACAAGAAATTTCAAAACTTATCGGTAAGTGGTCACTGTTGGTGCCACAGTCCAGCGCTTTCCAAGAAGAAGTAGTAATGGCTGAACTGACAAAACTTAAATCTAAGGCCGACCTGGAGTGATTACGAATAAATGTGGGGGTTCTGACGTTGAGGCACGTCAGGTCATTGGCCATTGTCCACTCCCACAAGCGTTTCCCACTAAGATCAGTTCTAAAGCCCCAACTCGTGTGGTGGGAATTAAAGTCTCCAACTAAAACTTTGTCTTTGCACCACGATTTTGTAGCTAGATCCAAACTTCGTGTGTCTTGAACTCCATCCGGAAAATACATATTAACTAAAGTGAAAGGAGTGCAGTTGGGCAGTGTAATGTCTATTGCCAAAATTTCGCATTCTGGCGACATATGTTTGTATGAGCATTTGACTTTCATACTAATTCTATTACTAATAAAGAGAGCTAGACCCCCACCTCTCGATGGACGGTCTAATCGAAAAGATTGGAAGTTATTTAAATGAAACAAATTATGTACAGATAGCCATGTCTCTTGTAATGCTATAATATCAGGAGTGAATTTAGAAGTCAAGTATACCAAATCCGTAGATGCAGAATGGATTGATCGGCAATTCCAATGGAGAATCTTAAGCGACCCTATGGTTTCGAAAGAGCTGCTTCCGCTATAGCTTTCTCTAGAATGCTTTCTTTCAAGAAGTCCCTCTTTGAAAGGCTCTCCTTTTCTTTCAGGTACTTTTTGTTCTTTGTTTGTTTCGGTGAGTTAGTTTTCCTTGACACAGGGGATCTAGATCTCTTCAGGGACCTAGGGTCCAAATCCATGTCATCGGAATCTATTGTATATGCAGCTTTGTCCTCACTTACACTCTGTATATCTACGGCAGAGGGTGCTGTAGACGGAGAATACGATGGTGCGGTTTCAAATTCCTCATTTTGGCTGTGGACGCCTATTGCAGAGGCTTCTGCGGGCTGATAATACGATGGCGTCGTTTCATATTCACCGTCAGCTAC